TCGGATATCGACAGAAAAGCCAATGTCGAGCGTCCCTAATAATAATGTCAGAAAATAACATCAAATAGCATATACAAATCTACAAATTAAATGTTCCAGAACCAAGTTAAAAATAGGCTTTATGGAAAACAGAGTATAGGCCAGAGGAACACATATGTGAAAATCGTCGTGCCCTCAAAGTTCATCTTTAAGCTCAGAGATTTGGGACTTAACAGCGTACCACAACATCCTCCACCCTGACTCTCAACACCGGTGCTCCTCAAGGCTGAGACTAAACCCCTCTGCCTGTACAATGTCATTGATGTATTTGCTGATGTAGCCAGTGACAGGATGCGTGAATACGTCAGTGTCAATATCCTAAAACACAAGCGGTGACGTAGGGCCAGGTGTAATTGGTTGAACCAGTGCTGAATAGTCCACATGATGGTTGTGTCTTTCTTGAGTTGGCAGAATTAGAACTGAGATTTGAGCCAAAGGAGGATTGAGGGTGGGCCTTATATCCTCATATCCATGGTCGAGCACGTTATCACTGTATGTAGGACAGCTAATGTGTTGGTGATATCTTGGCAAAACTTTCCTTGGAAAGCGTTGTTAAAATCACTTGCCACTAAAGCATACTCAGGCTATGTTGTCTCTGCCCTGTCGATAACTCCATACAGCTAATCTAGGTCTCGGTTGGTGGCAACACAGTAAACTGCTGTGAGAACGTCCAATGTAAACTTCCTCAGAAGCAAATAAGAACGGCCTCTGATCATAAGGCGCTCTAGGGTTGGGAGAACAGCCTGTAGAGATGATCTCCACATCTGAGCTCCACTTGATGATCATGAGGCCCCTTTTGGGACAACTGCCGAGTCTGGTATCACAGGGTTGAGGTAGGTCTTGTGATAACCATTATGTTGCACTTCTTAGTGTCACTTTGAAATTCGTCCAGCTTATTATGCAGTGATTGGACATATATTGGAAGGATAGTTGGTTTCCCTCCAGTTGTGGCAACAGGTAATGCAAGTCATGGATATTCCTTGTTGTGTGAGAAAAGATAGGCAAGATATTTCTCTTACAAATCGTCATGTGAAGGGAACAATCAGGAATGCTGGGAGGTCATCGCTGACTTGTCGACGGGTGTGAGTTAAACCAGCTTCACATAAATGCCAGCAAGACAAAAGAAATGGGGGTTGACTTCGTAGGAAAGCTCTCCCAGATTACACTGGTGAACATACAGGGTCTGGACATTGAGTTGTCTTACAAATACTTTGGTGTTCACCTCAACATTAAACTGGGCTGGTCTAAAAACACAGATGTCCTGTATAAGAAGGGCAAAAGTCATCTTGACCTGCTGAGGAGACTGAGGTCCTTTGGTGTGTGCAGGACTCTGTTAAAGTAATTCTATGACACTGTGGTGGCAACTGCAGTCCTCTAAGCAATCGTCTGCTGGGGAGCTAGATGCAACTACCTCCTGCTGTAACCTATGCAATATTCTATTTCAATCACATCTGTATAAAAAGCTGTATATAGTGTACATACAACTGTAATTCTATTTTCTCATTATGTCAGTTTTTTTATTATTTTATTTTGTTATATAATATGTATTTCTTTTTTCTGCTGTTGTTGATGTTATATCTGGAGCTGCTGTAACAAGTGAAGGAATCGATAAAGTCTACCTTATCTTATCTTAACTTAATGCTTAAGTTGCGCAAAATGTCTTTGCATCTTACACCTTACAGATATCAGCACTTGGGCTGGATATGGGTGGGGTACATTTCTGATGCCTGGTAACCATACTGATACATTGACTTTGATTCCTGAACGATACTATACTGATTTAAAAATTTACAAATTCAAAACTTATTGTCCCCATTATTTACATCACTTTGACACAAACACATGAGAAATTAAGGTCCAGGTTTTAAAATACCAAAGTTACCCTTTAATGTCCCTACTGTGGGTCAACCTTCAAAAGACTTGCTCCTATAATTGTTACATTTTAGTCTCCACTTTGAGTGCTTAGATAAGCCTGATGATGTCATCAAAAATTTCAAAATACTATCCCTGAGCGAACAGCTCTTGGATGTCTTAAATTATGGTTATTTCTGGTGAATTTATCACATCAACTAGAAATCTTCAGTCCTCATGATAATTAGCTTTGACATACACAACACCAATAGTGTGTGGTAGCTGGTCACACATCACATCACACATCATTTCAATCTATAATTGCATCTTTTCAGCTGTATGGATGTGAGCAAATCTGCTGTTATTCTCTTCCATTCTTTTCTCAAACAGTAATAAAGTCCTTTCTCCGTATTCCTCATTAAACTCTAAGCTCTCTTATTCTGCCCTGACACTTGTCCTCTTATTTCTTTTTTCATGACTTATCTTTCCCTAACCAGGGCCAGAGGCAGAAGTAATTAAAGAAAAAAAAATGTTTTAATGTGTTAATTCTTTACAGTAGCAGCATATGTATTATCATTCATTATCACTTCTCTTAACACTACAATGTTTGCTTTGTTATGATTTTCAACTATCTTAACATACAAATGTGTACCTGCTGCATACAATAACAATTAGGTAGAACAGTAGTCATGGATGCAAAAGTTAACAAAACAATTTTTTATGAATATTGCTGCTGCAGACTACAACTTGTTTTTTTTCTGTCTCTTTAGAAGCTGCACTGACGTCCTATGTTGTTTGATCTTCATCATTGTCATCCTCTCATATGTTGCCCTGGGAATAGTGGGTGAGTCTACACACACACACATGCACAAAGAGTGCCTGAGTGTGGTAAAAAGCCTTTTGGATCAGACTCTTCTTGCAGTGCATTCTCTCTCTACATGCCCTGTTTTAGATTACCCTGAACCTTGTAAGTCCAATGCTGAGATAGAGTCAACTGTTTGGGACCACTTTACATCTTGACATTTATATAAAAAAAGAGTTAATGCCCTCTAATTTGAGGAGGGCGGCCCACCTACCCCAGCATCCGCTTTGGTTTGGAGTCTGTGAAACCACTGCACTCATTTTCAAATGTATACTACTATAGTTATGAGCAACAGCTCACTTTAGAATGAGTTTTGTATCTTTGGACATTTCCATAGACAGTGAAATAGAGTACCTCTGGTCATACCTACTTCTCATTCAAACATTTCGAACAAACATCTGGGATATTAGCAGACATGATGAAGCTTGAGTGAGTTATGTACATTCTTATTAACCATTTATTTTGTATTTATTGTGTACTGTTTTTGTACTTTTAAACAAGCGTAATTTCAATCTGTCTCGTCGATGTTTTCTTATGTATTCATTTTCCAAGCATTTAATTCATTTAGTGTTGAATCTGTGCTATATGCAACCACTTTACTGTAGATACATGACCCTTTGATTGTTTCCTGCATATGTAAATGTGATACTGACCTCAAACATTTGACATCATGAAATGGCTGCTAATTATCTTTTTCAGCAGCTTTTGACTGCGTATCATAGTCTTCTTCAGCAGATGGAAATTGCTCAGGTATCATGGAGATTAGCTGTCTATTAAGGCTAGGACAATATGCTTATCTCCCAAATTGGTACAATCACAATACTTGGGGAGCCATTTTGATATCTATTGTGATTCTTATTCTACAAGTATAGCGATTAAATATTTAAATTTATTGCAATTTTTGTTTACTTTTTTAATGGGGAAAAGTTAAATCTAATCTAATCTAGAGACTTCTAGAGACAGAGAAATTAGTTATTGAGACCAAAACTGTAAAGTTGGGCATTTTAATATGGGGCCTTATGGAGATTGACTCACTGCTGAAGCCAGCCTCGAGTGTTTGTTAGAGAAACTGTTTTTGTTACTTCCATGCTGGTTTGATTTACCAGCCACATATTTTGCAGCTTGGTTTTGACCCTTTGAGGTTGCTGTCAGGGGTTGAAGCTACAGAGTAAAAAAAAATGGTTTTCTGTTTATTGTTTTCCTATTTATAAAAAAACGTTTCCCGATTTTATCCAAGCTACTATCAATAGCAAACGCTATTTAAAAGAATCTCTCAAAAATGACAGCATGCAAAACCAAGCTGTGGTCAGTTTATGAAGTGCAGACCTATCACGAAAACAATCTCTTTATATCCTCTGTTATAAGAGTAGCCGCACCTTTTTGTGTGTGTAGTGAATGTGTGGATGAGCAAAAGACAGAGGGAGAGATTGGTGAATGTAAGCCGGGCAGAGGAAAAATAGAGCAGTGAAGTTGTCAGTTTATCAGTAAATGTACAGTGTAGGTTACAGTTAGTCAGTAAATAAAGGCTGCAGCTTCTTAAGACCAAAGTAAAGCTCCTGTGTGGTATTTCTTGGTTGTTTCCTCAACTGTGTTGCTCTGATGATCATCTCCGCCTACACTCAGGGGGTACTATTCAAAGTACTATGTACAGTGGAAAATGAAGTAGAGGTAACAAAAGCAGGTAGTGTAGAGCCATGTAGTGGAAAATACAGATTAAAACTGCTCTTATTTCCATTACCTCTAAATTGTGTGTCTGTGTGTGTGTCTGTGCACGTGTATGTTAGCCTCATATCCTAGTATGAGCTCATTCCTAAAGACCAGTGTGTTAGTACGGAGCATACGTGGTAATGGAGTGAGCTCAGTGAGCGGATCAGAGGAGGGGTCCACTGGTGTGTGTGTGTGTGTGTGTGTGTGTGTGTGTGTGTGTTACTGGTGACATCATCCTATTAAGATGACATGAATGCACTAATCCCACTTTATGCACACTAACCACTCTGGCCTTCATTTATAGACACACTATACACCAGTATGTGATTGTATGGGTGACACAGACATAAATACACAGCCATACACACTCACAGGTACACACATACATACACAAAGACTGTTTCCAAAATCACTCCACTCCAGGTCTGCATCTAAACATGGATGACATCATTCCCGATGACTCACTCTTTTTTGCCTCATCCCTCCTTTCTTTCATCAATTCCACACACACTCACACAAAGAGTATGAACTAATCTCGCATCACTCTTTCTATTGTCATTAATTACACCAACCAACAACCATCACTGATGAGAATATTTACGAATTGTCTATAAAATGCAGAGACAGGCAAGTCATTAAGAAAGCACTTTTTCATTCTACAAAACATCTCCATCCTGTGCAGCGAGGACAGTCTCCAACCCGCTACACCTTAAGAAAAAACAACAAACATGGCTATCAACCAATATTTATTGGTCCATTCTGAGAATATGTCTTCCTTTCCTGAAAATATGAAACAAAGGGATTTTAAAAGATGCTAGACTACCATTGCTAAAATCACTGATATTATTGTTATTATTATTAGTTATTATTAAGTATTATTATTGCTACAGTTACTGTTGTCGCTGCTCGCTGTCCCCCATCGTTGCTGCTGTCATCGTCATCGTCTTTTTC